ATTTTTCTTACAAAATATACTCACCGATTCAAAGAAACATCGCGCCTGAGGACGACGCTCACAGCAGCAGTCGCCACAGTGATCATATCCGATCTTCCCAACGGCGGTTCTCGCAACGGGAAACCAGCAACCAGCAAATCCAACGCTGCTCGCTGTACAAGAACCCCTCCTTCTTGAAAGCAAGTGGACAAGGCGGCCACGACAAGGTCCAAGTCCGGTCCCAGCAGGTGCAACTGGTCCTCCATAGAAAGTTTCCTGTTGAACCGACTCAGGATCAAGTTGACGGCGGCCAATCGCACGCTGTTGTTCTCAAAGGCACACTTCCAGACGCTGCCGTAAAATGAACAGGGATTCACTCGTCCGCAGATGTTGTCCAGTAGAGTAACAGTCCTAAAAATGAAAAAATTAAAGAAGAAAGAGTTTGGCATAAATATTTTTAAATCAAACTCAATTCAAAGAAATCGACGCGCGTAGTATCTCAAAATGCTTTAGAGAAAAAATGGCACTAAAGAAAATTTAGCAAATTAATGACTGAAAACAAATCCCATTTAAACTTTCATTATGTTCAAATTTTGGTTGCTATTTAATCATGTGATTTGTACACATCGTAATATGTCCGTCATTTTGTGGATGTTTTAATCGACGAAAATTCATCAGATGTGGCATTCTCGTCATTGAATTTTTTTTTAAGTCATTGCAGTTCACATAATTTTTTCCAAACACCATTCGAACAAGTCTGCAGCTCTTAATGGAGCGGACTTTCAATGAGGAAAAAATATTTCCTCATCTTCCACCGGAAATCCAAAGTACCGAAGTAATTCGTACTTCATGTGATAACGCCAACAAAGGCTTCCGCTCGAAGGATATCCCCAAAACAGAACTGAATGCATGAATGAAATGGAGCGTTAATGAAGCCTTAGATGTAATCCAAGATTAACTCAGCGCGACTGTCGAGAAAATGAAGATTTTCAAAGGATTCCCGAAGACCGTCAATATAAAAATATGACTTCAAATATTTGCGAATTTGAAACGATGATTCTATAGACTTCATATGGTTTCTCGAAAAAGATGCAATCCAAAGACGGGATAAAGAAAATAAATGGAAGTACCTCGGATTTAAATTTCAAGGGAAATGTTTTTATTTTTCCCTTCAATGCTCCATTTCCCCAATCAGAACTTTCCTTTGAACACACAGATGTCGCCTGAATTTCTTTTTTGTTGGTAACTAATGGCAAAACCACATTCGATTGACAGCTTCATTAGGAATCGACTCGGTTGAGTCATAAGTTAACGTAGTGCGAGATTATTTGCTTCAGGCAATTGATTCAGGCAACTCTTGTTAAGACATTCCAGAAAACATAGTCGGAAGTTGTGGTGAGACAAAATGAACAAGGCTGCACACACCGATTGGTAGTACAGACTGATAATTAAATCTTGAACGAATCTTGAACAAAAATTTATGATATGCAATCTAAGAAAAATGAACAAGGCTGTATATTTCGATAAGTATAATTCATAATTAAATCTTGAAGAATTGCCAAAAATTAATTGGATGTAATCTAAGATTTGAAAGCTTGAAGAATGGCATGAATAATAAATCAAAAATCATATAAAAATAAGTTTTGTGAGTAGAACTAGGAAAGGATAAGGGTCTACTCCCATATAGGAATCTCGCTAGGCCCGAAAATCCTGCGGGGTACGAAAACCCCGCAACGTGAATTTGTGCACGAGAAAAGCCTTCTAAGTGATACATTTTGCACTAAATAGTAGATTTATCGGCTAAATTCTATATACTTAGAACTTTTTTTCTTCACTCGCGATTTTTTAAAGTTCTCTTCTTGAATGATTCTTTGTTTCGCATCAGTCAAAACACTTCACCACAAGTGATTTTTTCAATATGAAGTTTTGGAACTGAAAACTAAGGGGCGGGACTTATGCAGCGATTTTTTTCTTTATTTTAGCTATAAAAAAAATAAAACTAAGATGCGCGTCCTACTCGAATAAAATACGCTTCTTTATTTTCAAAACATTTCGTGGCTCAAGCGACACCTACTTGACAAACAAACCGAGACACATCGCAGAGGTGAAAATAAGCAAAAAATAAATACATCTTCAAAATGAAAAGCAACAGGTCACCTTTGATAATAATCAGAAGTCTCGTCCAAACTCGGAAGAACGCCCGTGAGGATCCCAGGAAGCGCGGGTTGCAAATCTGCGCCCAGGGGCAGGAGGTGAGTCTCGTACAACGACAGTAAAAACGGTCTCACGGTCATCGCGGCAATCCCAAATAAAGGGAAAAGGCCAGACGAGTAGATAAACAATTCCTGTGAAAGCCTCTCGCGTCCGATGCACTTGAAGAGGATGTCGTAAGTTTCCAGGGCCTTCAAGTGAACCCCACTGGGAAGCGAGGGATGCATGCATTGCGCAAGTCTCTTACTTATCAGGAGTCTTCGCGGAATCACGCTATACTTTGCGTACCCCAGAACAACCTGAAATAAGAAAGATGTCACGTTATGATTTATTTAGGCAGTGGTGCCCAACTCAGAACTAATGTTGGGCTATGTGGCAAGGAGATTAGTATTTGCTGCCAACAAGAAAAAAAGGTATGGCTTTTTTTTTATTCAGGTGGAGAGTTCAGGAAGCGCAGTTTTTGAAGTGCAAGCTACACGGCAATGAAATGGTCGAATTGATTTCCCAATAATTTATAGAAATTACCGTACCAGCCATCACAATCTTTAATTTTGAGAACCTACAAGTCAATCCAACTCTAGAAATTCGTTTTTGGGAGTTGAATTGACCTGTAGGTTCTCAAAATTAAAGATTGTGGAGGCTGGTGCGGTGACAGTAACGGGCCAGCCAAACAGATGCTCCACGGGCCTGATCTGGCCCGCGGACCGAATCGTGGGCACCCCGAAATTAAGGACACAAAAAAATCCTTAGCCAGAAAAGGAAAACCACGATCAAGAGCCCTCCGGTTCAATAAGGGAACGGATCGACTGGTTTTTGGTGAACCCATAAAATAATAAAATAATTCCTCCTTCGACATGAATTAATGTAATTTTTTTCAACCTAAAAAAATACAATTCTACGACAAACGATCTAAAATAGGGAAACAATCTTCCAACAAAAAATTCCCCTGAAAAATCGCGAGACGTGATTTTGTTTCACGCAGTATTCGATTTCATGACACAAAATAAGGCCATACTAATAAAATAATAAATTATACAGTAATAATATATTATTATAAATAATAGTATGAAATAAGACAGTTAATTACTCAAACTCTTAAAAGTCATAGAAAAATTAACTCCGTGATACCACTTTAAAACGTTGAACTTCAACCCTCAGAAGAGTTTTGGGCGGGGGGTGGGATATTAATGCGAACCTCAAGATTTATTCAACACAATTCACAAAATTTTAAAAAATTCAAAAATAAATGTTCTCAGTGCAGAGCTGCTGGGATCACGCAAAATATAAAATCCTTCTTATTCGAATTAAAACAAAAAAGGTATCAGAAGCATTATTTGATAACAATAATAAAAATCGTGGATATGAAATACGGTCCGTATAAAAAATGTACCACTCGTCAGGAAATGATAGGTAGTTAGGCTACAAAATAATATCCATCTCCACCAATTTTGAAAATCTACAACAGGTAGAACACAAGGTTACCCATTCGCAGTAAATAAAATATCCAGTTATGCACGAAAAGTTGAACGGAATGCGAAATTCAAGGTAAGATTTAACAAGTGTTAATTTACCAGATTTGTTTATTTGGAAGAAAGTTTCAAGGTCGATAAATTCAAAGAATTCCTCCTCTTCGGTGGAGACTTTCTCTTACCCTTTTAATTTTTTCGACATTCTTAAATGCCCTCACGAAGGATTGTAAAATGGAAAGGAGCTCTGAATAGGTCTTTAGAAAAATGCGACCGCGAACTTTCAACTAACTCTACATGAATTCCTTCCTTTCGGAATTTTTGAGTAAAATTTCGTTAAAACAAAACCATTGAGACTATTAAAATAGATTCGTCATATTGGAGAATACACATTGAATGAAATTCTACAAAAAAATTTTGGCTACTGGATAGGAACATGAAAAACGGATTCGTTTCAATCGATTATTCGTTATAACGTTATTCATGATAACGAGATTTTCTTTTGTACTGTCCTAGCCTCCTAGGAGAAAAGTACTTCACATTACAGTATATGTTTACTTTACTGGACTCGCCTTGTTCAGTTTGCCGAGCGCCGAAATGAGATCCGGCCATTCCGCCGAGTATTCAAAATTCTTCAGGGCCTTGTCAATAGCTGCGACGTAGCTCCTGTACTTCGGATCCACGTACAGCTCGGATTCTTCCAAACTAACGAACGACATTGTTGGTGTCGGCGTCGGACGACCGAATAACGAAGGGTCGTGATCACACTATGAACTGATGCATCCGGTGGATGCATTTTTCTTTCCTACACTTCAGGGACACGACGCGAACTATTGCAAGCATTTTGCACTCTCCTGCGATTCCAAAGAAAAAAGGCGTCGAACGTCATTCGCACATTTTAAACCGTTTCAGGCGAAAATCGATACGGAGAGGAAAATGACGCGGCTAAAAAATGACGCGGAGGAGAAAATCGATAATTTTTCAGGCAGAACAACTGATTCAAATCTACCAATACATAATCAGCTAGATGCAAAGATGAATTAAAAACAAAACAAAAATAAGTCAATAAATGCAACTAAGAGCCACTACAAAAAACCACATGAAATTTTGTTCAACATCAAATGTCGTAATTATTCTTTAGTTATTTACTTTTCTGTGAGGTTCTCTTCTTTCACTCGTGCGGCTTATACAAAATATAATTCACGTTTGTGTCTTCCTTCGATTGTTGAAAAAGTAAAAATTAACAAGTTTTCGCATCTTGGACCCTTTTCTTTCTTACTTTGCGGCATTTTTTCCTGCGTCATTCCCTCTCTCCAGCTTGAAGGAGCAAAAGATTACCCAAAATATCGTCAGAAACAGGAGTGTCACCTCGTCGACGCAAATCGAACTCTTTTAATCATCTCACATATCCCCTGACTAGCTTTTTATAGTCGGGACAAAGTCACTTCCAAGACACGGAATATTTTGCTTTCCTAGCAAAATATCGAGACCTCTTCACACCAACGACAGGGAAAAAAACCGAAATGCCGGTAAGAGGATACCAACCAGCAATCTCCGGATTGGCGGTCCGAATTTTAAACCACACCCTGTACAATAATTCACACGGCAAGACGATCCACCGAGGACATTACTGTATCACTTTCCCATCAGGCATGACACGGTGCAACTACCCGAAACATACAGGAAACCGATCTGCGCATCTGTTCATCACTCAGTTGAAGAAATATGATCAACGCATTTGAATACCAACGTAGCTTCAGCAAAAAAAAGTAAGTCGTCGGACGATGAAGACGCACAGCACTTCACGTTTTATCACTTTGTGGGACAATTCATCGTAAATTAAGAAATCAAGGCGCACGGAAGGGATCAACTGAAATCAGTCGAAACCAAAATTTCTTTACATTTTAAAAACCATGAAGTTACGCACAGGACTTGCTTCCATCTACAAAATCCCTTGCAAAAATTGTTTTCGCAGCGAGGTCTTCGGAACAGTTCAGCGGGAAATTCGCCAACCCATAACAAAAATCCTGAAAATTCGCCAACCCAGAACAGTGCGTGTCCATGAACAAACTTGAATAAAACATGAAACGGAAAAGCGAAGAAAATGGAATCATAAAAATGCACATAGAAAATGCTCAACCGGTGTCGCTAGATTACTTTAACTTCTGACATTTTTCTAATACATTCATCAAAATTGTCCAGGAAAGCTTCCCAGGTGAAAAAAACCTTATGACAATGCATCAATTACTGACAGCGAAAATGTTCTGCCAAAAGCTCAATAGTACAGCACAGTTTTGAGAAACTGTTCTATAAAAGCGCTTTTTATGCTTCTGCTGTTCACGACACGCGCCGTTTGGGGACGAGCCTAATTAATTTTCCTCTCAGGCTCAATAGAGAACCTTACCCTCAGGGTGGAAATCCAAAACAATTCCCGATTATTCGGAAAACCTTCCGATACTGAAAAATAGCGTCTAAACCGTTGAACAGAAAATTATTTTTCCTCCATTGAGCGCAAAGAAAAATCAGGCCCACCTGGTTTTACACTGACGGTAATAAAGTAGTGCTGTTGTTTTACACCAGAGGGCGTCTATTCCGATCGTCGCATCCGGCGTTGGGAGAATAAAAACGAACGCGTTGGGGGAAAGGGGGAGGAAAAAACACAGGCGAATCACTAAGGCTCTCGCGGCAACCCGCAAACTTCACAAGACTCCAGGAGTGGTATATTCAGGTAAGTGCAATGTGAGCAAGTCCACGGCTGGGCCTCACTGGACGAGCCGGGTTCCGGATCCGAAGCCGCCATCGGGAGAACACGCGGAGGCGGCGTTCGCGACCTCGGAACACGGGACGGTGGGGGCGCCGGAGGATCCGAGTCCATGGCCAACATGACCTGATCTACGGTTTGCCAGTCGTCACCGGATAGCCAGGCGTTCACAGCTTCAGTGTTGCGAGATCTCAGGGCAGACAAAAGGCCCGCGAGTTTCAGATCAGGCGGGGAGAACGGCAGCGTGTCACAGGTCGCGAGGAAAACTAAAAGATGGAGGTCACTCAGAGCGTCCGCCATTTCACCGGGTTTGAACTTCCTCAAATATTGGCCGAGGGCTGATAGGTCTTGAAGGTGCTGGTCGACTAAACGGTTTTCAACCGGGAAAAACGACGCCGATTCCGAACTACTGATGAGTCTCGCGGCGGCCATCGTGAACTTTGGCTCCAACGGAGTCGTTGTGGGGATATCCAACAGCAGGTACTCAATCGGCAGAGGCCTTCCGATTCGAGTTATGTGATTTCCATACTTGTCTTTCATCCTACCAGAAAAACGCGAAGATATCAAGTAAAAACCGTCAAACATGGGATCGATATGAAGATAGACAGTTGTTCAAGGCTCCATGCGAAAATCCCGTAACTTGCATTTGCATGTCAGAATTTTTGTACTGTATAACCATAATTTTCATGACTAAAAGGCATTTGTACATCACAGACACGATATTTCTCACTTCAATTTCTCACTGCATTTTTCACTTCAAGAGACAAAAACGAACTACAACATTCAATAGAAACTTAAAGTTTATATTCGAAGCAAATGTAAGGGATCAAAGCTCCAAATGAAGGCTACATATTTCTCAGCCATCCTCTTAACCTTTCTCTTGAGAGAAATAATCCTAATCTTTCAAAACAGTGGGAATGAAAACCCAAAAATACTTTCACAATTTTTTTATCCACGGGAATTTTGTTCTGGCGGGATTTCCGTAAAATTTTTAGGTTTACGGGATTATCTGCGCTACAGGATTTTCGAGGTGAGGGATTCTCTCTCCCACGGGATTAACTCCCTCTGAAAAGCACCGTATAACAAATTACAAAATAAGCCTGGCCTGTATAAAAAAGAAGTTTTGTCCAATATAATTCAGAAGAGGCAAAAGGAATTTTGAATGAAGGATGATATAATTGAACAACATTCCAAATCAGAATAACGGAGATTGGGATTAGTTTTTAGAGTAAAATATTTTCATGAACATTACGTAAACAGATTCTTACCAAGTAAAGTAGCTACAACATTTTTTTTTTCTTTGACACAACAAATTCGTATTGTTAGTAAAGCATTTTTCCCGACCTCAATGACTTTTTGTAACCATATTTTACTGCCGATTTAACAATTTTAGGGCATAAATGATTCTTGCTTTCATTAAAAATTCAGCTTTTTGACTGTATACTCTTTCTGACTTATAAAATGAAAACATCCTTTTTCTGCATAGCCAACAAAATGAAGCATGTCGTACTCAGGTTTTTCCACACGGTCTATCATTTTTGCAACCTTTTAAATCTGGAAATGGGCCAATCATCTAAATTTCCATTTGTTTATGCTTTAATTGGTCTTTCAAAAAATCATGACTCCACTTAAGAGGCAATTTTAAAAATCAATAACGTTCCTACTTTCTCGTTTGACAGTTTTCTCAGAAAATGGACTCTCCTCATAAACCACAGTTTTTTCCATAGGTGGATATTCTTTGGCCAATTATAAGCACGTAGACGCATAGTAATGCACATTCAAAGAACTTATGTAGTGGAGAACATTTTCACGACGTGGGGAAAAAACGAAACGAACCTGTAGAAAACGTCTGGAACATATTTTTCTGACGTAGATTTCAACACATATGCCAGCTGCGGAACATCCTTCGTCGGGACGATGCATTCGTGTTTTACAAGTCCCATTCCCTGATCAGAGATCTGATAACCATCCAAATGAATCTGATGCTCATCATTTCCGCTAACGCATACGGTGACAAATTTCGAGCCAAAAAATCCCTCCCTGGCAAATTTGCAAGGATTCGGATGCATGTTTTGGAAATGAGCTGCAGTTATCGCTTCCCCAGCTGACAGTAGGTGCGTTTGAAGATTTCGCAGATTCTGGAAAGCAGGTTCGAAGTTATCAAGAAATGTTAAGTGAAAACTAAAACAGCTCAAAATAAATATTCCTAACCTGAACAGTTCCCATCTGCAAATTTTCTGTCATCAGGTCCGTAAAAATCCAACCGATACGCCGAAGGCCTAGCGAATCCGCCACGAAATCAACAGTGGGTAATACAGGGTCTGGATGGAAGTTGAGCTCTCTTTTTGTGCTATCCTGAGGAGGCTCATAAATAGCAGCGACAACAGCTCTAATTCCTAAGGGCACAGTATCATGTGGTTCGTAGTATCCATAGAGAAACCCGAACCTTTGATTCCCGGTGGTTCTCCAATAATTGAGAAACCGATCTACTATGTACTGGTTCTCGAACATTATGTGATCGATGTGCCTACACAGAAAACAAGATATAAGTCATCGAACAGAATGTCTCTATGAGACAATAGGTACCTGTACTTCTGTCGAGTCAAAGTAACAGCCGGTGGCGTACATTTTGAGCAAAGACCTTTGGGCCAGGGCGGATGATGAGGGCAGTCCGATTTTACACTACAATCAAGGTTTTCTAGAACAACAAACTTTCCTTTGTCTATCCCTGACTGAAGCTTTCTCAGATATGCGTTGAACGACATGTGTTTGATGCCATTTTCTTTGATGTAACCTTCATCCCAAGGATCAAGGGAGAAACAGTGAACGCATTGCGAATTGACATTATGACGGCAATGGGAAGGGTCCCGCTGCCGTTTGATTTTGCCATCTCGTTTCGCCAGTTCCAAGTCCACGTCATCTTCTACTACAGCAGCGGGCACGTGATCCGTAGTTGCTACAGTTGATGCTGAGGATGTTTCAGGAGTTTTGAGATCGTTCTCTGCACTTTTGTCCGCTGAAACACTGGGGCGAACAAGGTCGCCATACGCCATGAAGAGCATATCTCCATGCCTCAAGCCAAACGACGCTAAACTTTTCTTGGAAGTTGACACAAGTTCTTTCGTCTTGGCTCTGTCGATATACAGACGAAAGTCGAAGGTTTCTAACCCGAATTCCTCATGAATTTTTTCATAAAGCCCTCTCGTCGTGTCACTCAAGGGCAATTCGACGCGTTTTGTTCCATCCGCGGACTGAACCCGCAGAATGATACTTTGGCCGCTCATTCTCTAGAAGGGATCACAGAGAGATGAGTAAAATTTTTCCAGGCACACTGAATCCTGATTTCGAATGCAATAATTTTTTTCAACTCTTCCCTGAGAACAGTTAGTCACACGGCAACCAAATGAATCACACTGTATTTCTAGCATCATCTCAAGATCACTCCAAGAATTGCACAAAAGCCTGAATCAACATATCAATTCATGCAAACGGAGGAAACGTGATACGCGGATTCCTATCGTGACTTCAAAGACTTCAGTGATGTTAACTTGCCCTTGAAAGGAGATGAACAGTCACAAGCCCTGATTTACGATCCACAGGGTCATGGGGAGCAGAAGGCGGAGCTTGCGGGAATTCCGGTGTTGGCTGTTTGACGGAATCAAATTTTTATACTCTACTTTACAGTACCTAACTTTGAAATGTTTGACATATTAATTTATCTCTGACATAGATTCATTACAGCATGTTGTTGCGAGGGGAATTCATTAGATATTAATTTAAGCATAAAATCGACTGAGACACCCTATGAACCCATTGGTATTGGCTCCTCCCCTTTTTATTAGAAACACCTGGCGTTTGGGGAAAGTTATTGACCTCCGCATGCTCTGCAGCGGTTGGTTCGCATTCGGGATTCCTTCACGAGAAGGTATTCCTGGAATCACCGCCGAATTCGATGGGTGGTCAATAGAAATTAATACTGTACTGAGTTATATTTTCTGGTGAGGAGGGAAAATGTTCGTGAGCATAGTGGTATTAATCTCCGGCGAATGTGCGAAACGTGGGTGAAAAGTTCCTCTTCCACGAATATGCTTGAATCTTCGTGTCAAGATTGACCTCCGGAATTTTTTATATTATGCCGGGAAACCCTAGTGCGATTAAAAATTTCACGCTATCCTACAAATAGTTCTTGAACTGAAAGCATTTGGCTTCCTGTGATGCTGTTCTGTGGTGATTGACTTGGCATTCCGTGAAGTGAAAATTCTAAACCAGCGTGTAACAGCCATGAATAACATTAACTTGCAATCGTGTGTCGGCCGCTTGGAGCGGATCACGGTCACATTGGAGAAGATGGGAGGATCAGGTAAGGTTTATATCACTCGTCCGAAAGCAATTTTTCTGATGAAACCGTTACGCTTCCAGCTGTGAAGGGGAAAACGGACTTGGAAAGTTTGATCAACCGATTGGAGAAGGTGATGCCGAATTTACGTTCGGGTTCAGAAGAGAAGGGTGAGTTGCTGAATCCTGATACTGTACTGTTCTTGAAAGATTCTTGACTGCGCGATCCTCGGAAATGTGTCTATCTCCTGTACTTTTCCCCAACAATGAGGGCTGAAGGTGAGGGATCGCTGTCCTCCCTCACTGAGTCTAAAAATATCCTGCTTCTAGAAAATCACAGAAGTTGTTATTCTACAGATGAACTTGCCAAGAAACCTTGTCCCGTCTTATTCCGGGGTTTTACCCAGTTTTCGCTTAGTGCCCTTCGACTGTGCGCGTTTTTTTTCTTTTTTTACTTCCGAGTGCGTGATGAACATGAATTGTTATTCTCGTGTTTTTGGTTAAAGTTTAAGATACCTTCGTTGCTTTTCCAGGCGTAATTAGTCGAATAGTTTAAGATTCTAGTAATTTGTGAGAATGTCGAGGTACGGACGAACATCATCCTGGAGTCGGTCATCTTCATCGCGAACTATGAGTGAAGAATTTGGTGGATTTTCTTCAGCTCTCGACGATGCATTAGGCGAAATCAATAGATTCATGTCTCCTACAAGTACTCCGTCGACCGCACCGAGCGACCCCTTCTTCTCTCGCGGCCCAGTGCCATATAGTGAATTTGCAAAACGTGGGGGTGGGGAAACTAGTATGAGGATGTTCTCTTCGAACCACGTTTCTGAGCACCAGAGTTCTAGTTCAGGACGTGGTCCACCAAGTTTTTACTCACGCACTAAAACAGAGGAGTACTTTGATGGAAATAGAGAAGGGGACAAGAATTTTTACAAGCTTGAGGAAGAGGTGAATGCCGATGGGCCTCAAACGGGACGAATTCACGAGAAATCTAGCGAAGTTCAAGGCTCGCCGCCTCCTCCAGAATCACGCAGCTTTTTGTTGAATCAATGGAAAGGACCACGGCGGTGGTCGGAGACAGGATTCAGTCATGTTTCACCTCCAGGATTTACTTCTGCTTTCGGCATGCTCTCTTCACTATATTTTGAGTGCAAACTAATCTCGAATTACCGTCTACTATGAGTCGCATTTTCCACCAAATTAAACGTTGGTGCGGTTAATGCTCAATATTTCTAAGTTTAGATGTTTAGTCAGTTATTATGTAACATCTATAAACCTATGGGAATTATTTCAAGAAAACTATCATTCTTCTCGGAATTTCGGAGTTTCTGGCGACCTATGCAGGATTTCCCTCAATTCTACCCAAATGAGTTTTTTCCCGAATATATTAAATTACTGTATTCGCCCTTTGAATTAAAGAAATTATCCACGAATAGTAAATGACGGTTGTATTTAGGTGAGCATTAAAAGGAATAATCACGCTGCCGTTCTCAATTGAAATCAAGTTTTATTTTTACTTGTAACGAAATCTCACATTCCCACGTGGAACACTCGGAACTTCCAGGGACCTATTTGTTGTGCCAAGTATTTCCTCTGACGGAGCTGCATAAATGTTTACTGTTGTGCATAGCAAACTGTCTCGAATAATAAGAAAAATGAGCTGGAATTCGTGTTTTTCTGTTGATGTCTTTTAAAACACCGAGCCTCAGTTGGTGGGGCGAAGTTCAATGAAGCATGTGCGAGGAATGGTACAGTTCTTTTTTTTTTTTTTTTAGCAAAATAACGTCATGTTGAGTTCATGCGTGCTCGAGCCACGTGAGTGTGCATCCTCCGAACCTCTGTTGCATTATGAACATGCCTTGAAACACGAAGTATTCTGAGAGGATATACAATTTCAGCCCATAATTCTTAAAATTCGCCATTCCTCAGAATTCAACGAGATTTAAGGAAAATCGTTGAATCTAGTATCATACGCACACAACAACAAAAAAGAATGCTAATGTGGGGATTTACTTTAAACCTTCGTCAGATATGGAACATCAGTCCTTTCAACTATTTGACAAATTTGTGCAGACTGCTTGCTAAAATTTTTTAGAAGGATGAAGAAATGTAGATGGTGACCCAAATTTTCTCACAGTGAAAGGGTGCACGATCAACTTTCTGCATTACATTACTGTATTTACAATCTCGTTGAGCAGAAATTGATACAGTATATTGATCAGAAAATGTTCTAAGATTCTTCTGTAAAATTGCTTTTGGATCCATCAGACCAAGGAAAGCACGGAATTGACGAAATGTATAAACCAACCCTTTTTTTATCATACCATACAGAAAATTCCCATCGGGTTTTTCCGGAGGTATATTATATCTGGAATTCTGTATCGAGGGAAACTTTCCTGAAAGAAATACTGGACAGTTGAGATTTCACCGAAAAGTTGTTCTCTTAATGCTCAAAATATCTTTTGGAATATTTTTCGGCTTTTTAAAATCGGATTTCACCTACAATTTACTCAGTTCACCGTTTCTTTTCCGGCGATTGGAGACTGTTCGTGGGAATACCACGACCGTCTGATTTTAGAGAATTCTTTTTGGTTCAAAGAACATGATAATCTTCCATTTTAACCTACCTATCAGCTTGGGAGTAGAGCTGGAAATCCTGCCTAGGATAAAAGAACGTCCTTTCTTGAATATGTTCCGCGAACATATATATCGGGGGCATTAAAAGCATCGAATTACTCTCCAGTAACGATAGACCACACAGAATGGTCGAGTCATTTTCCTTATGCAAATCCGTTGGAATTAAAGTTTTCTTCTTGTATTCGAGAATAATTATCCTTTCGTTTGTTGCGGGATCATCGAATGTGAACGTGTGTCTTTTTTCATTTAGATTCCCCGTCCAGTAACGGAAGCGTCGGAAATGCGTCCACGTACTCAGGCTTGAGCCATTCCTCAGGACTCAGCCATGCCTCCGAATATGACAACATTGTGCAAGGGTCGCTGGCGAGATATTTATCTTTATCAAACACTATCGGTGGTGACGTGGCAACGCACGCGCAAATGGTTGCACGAGCTTTTAGGTAAACTTTAATAAAAGTATAATCGTATGACGCATTTGATAAAATTATTCTGAATATTTTTTTATTTGACGTAGCATCCAGAAGAAGTTTCTGGATGTGGCGTCTCGATGCAAGCAGCCATCGGACGTGAATCTTCAAAAATTGCTCACTGGTACTTCGGAAGCAATCATGGAAATTCAAGGCTTTAGGGAGAAGCATCGTTCTTCGCCATTATTCAATCATTTGTCGGCTTTGTCCGAAGGAATCCCTGCATTGGGATGGGTTGCCGTGGTGAGTTGTGGAATTTTTTTTCATACTGTGAGGATGAATGTAGCTAATAAGTTTTCGTAATGGTTGATTCTGATCGAAGTTTGATTCTAAGAGAAATTACCTTTTCTCTCCAGTCACCTACCCCTGGTCCGCATGTCAAGGAAATGGCGGACTCCGCTCAGTTTTATACAAACCGGGTCCTGAAGGATTGGAAGGAGAAGTAAGATCTTCTTTTCATTTGTATATACACTTATCGTGCGATGTAAGTAGGGTACGTGTATTCTGGAATCGTTTCCTTCAAGTACTGGAGCTACGTGCTTGTCATACTTTGGCATCTAGAACTTTTCGCGAAGGAAAATAAAATTGAGCTTTTTTTTTATAATTCCTATGCATTGTTTTAATGCGATCATTGTTGATGATATATTTATTCCGTGTCGGTCCACCCTGTTTATCAGCATTTATCGCAGGTAATGAAGCTGGTGTTCGTAAGCTGTAGAATTGATGTCTTATATCTTGTAATTTCGTACAGTATTTAGAATACTTAAAATATACTCCAGTTATTTTTTCAATTATAAAAATGGAAGTTCAGCTATGTCAATTTAAATCCTTACTTTTGAAGGGATAAGACCCATGCGGAATGGGTCAAAGCTTTGTTGGAGATCTTCGCGGACCTGCAAACGTACATCAAGCAACATCACACGACCGGATTAGTGTGGAACAATCGTTCGGGAAGTGAGCCTTCCGCTGCGGATTTCGCTGCGTGTGGATCTGTGCCGTCTAATGCGAGCGTTGGTCCTAGTGGTGGTGGTGGTGGTGGAGGTGGTGGGGGTGGGTACTATCTAAATAGACGCCTATAACGGCGATCTGTTCCGAGCAACTTCCCGCCCCTACTTGCGCCACGAAACAAGCTAGTCGAGTTATTTCCACGGCTGCACTGAAAAGGTTGGTATGCCCCGGAACTTAACAAGTCACTCACCAGGTTATGTTAGGTTTGATCGAAGCCTTTCAATTGGTAATTTATGTTGCACTTACCGGGTATCACGTGGAATCATCAAGGGGAGGCATGGTTTCGAGTTTTGAAATTGGATTCCTGTAATTGTGGTCGATGTTGAAATGATGGAACCTTTCGGGAGAGAGACTCGAAGTAACTTTCCGAGGTGGTCGTGGAGAATTGTTGCTTGTCGACGGAATTGGTTAAATTCAATATATTATGATTTTTAAAGCGCAGTGAACTTTATTTAAGCAATTTTCGGAGTAAAATTAAAATTAATGTGTTAAATTCTAGTAAATATTTTAATGCTTGCCCGTGATATCCGGGCCTTCATTAGGTGTGCTGTAGCCACCTTTGACAGAAGTTGAATGACCCTTTTTTAGGATGTTGGGTGCCGTGAAGACTGCTTTTAACTTCTTTTTTTTTCTTGAGCATGGAGACATTTGTTATTACCAATCGTCATTCTTAAAAATAGCCCGGTAATTTCAATCCTTTTTCTACCTTCTGCTGGCGGAGAGCATTAAGTACTATACATTTTTGTGATTTGCACTGTCGTCTCGTACTTTTCTAGGACTGAAGAAAGTGACCGCTGACATGCAGACTCACAAGAATCCTGAATTGAGAACAGCAAATACCGTTCCGACCAAAAGCACACCACAGCCTGTCGCGCCTGCAGCTGGACCAGGAAGTAGAATTGGCGCGGATCCGACGAAATCGCCGAATATGGAACTCGTCAATGGAAAAAAGTGGATGGTGGTACGTACACATTTTCCAGGCTCCTAGCATTTGTTGAATGAGTGTTGAAAATCTAAAATTTTATTTTCGTTTCTACGCTTCAAGAGTGTCCTCACTCGAATTTTTTTTTTTTTGTCACGACATAAGCGTCGTCTGATTTACGTTATGATATGATTGAGCTGGAGTTGTTATGGTTCATCTGGTTAGTGATAGAGATGACGCCTGTCGGCTTTTCCCAAAAATATTATAAGTGCGAAGAACCGGGAATTCGTAGAGAAAAATGTACCAGTTTTTGAGACTATGTTCTCTTAATGGACCGTGTTACGCTTACAGGAGCATCAGAACGGGAATGAAGGATTGGTCATCAACGTCACAGCTATTAATCAAGCTGTGTACATTTTCCGGTGCACGAACACTGTGGTGCAGGTGAAAGGTAAGAAAAATTATTTCATCTCAGTTTTCGGTTCAATTTTTCTTTTTTGAGCTTTTCTCCGTTCCTCAATTTATATTTTCATATACAGTACATTACTCAAAAGTTGTATATCAAAGGCGCAAGACTTCGTGTAGAATAAAGTCTGTGCAACTAAATATCAAAAAGATGAGAAGAGCCATTTAGCACGTGTCTACGTGCTAAATAGATTGCCCAAGTTGTATACAGTACAAAATTGTTGACATATCGCCCATGTTGTTGATATAAAACGACGCATATTTCTTTGACTCAGGGAAATTGTCTTCTGTGGTGATGGACTCTTGCAAGAAAACCGCGGTTGTGTTTGATACACTTGTTGGTCCTGCGGAGTTCGTCAATTGCCAAAGCTGCAAATTGCAGGTGAGTAGTATTACACTTCTTATTTGAGTCACATCTTTCAGCCTCACGAAAAATGTCTTTTTTTTATTTAGATCACTGATACTGTTCCTATCGTGTCGATTGATAATTGCGACGGTATACAAATGTTTTTGTCTGCTGCTGCCAAGGATGCAGTGAAGATTGTGACTTCCAAATCGTCGGAGATGAACGTGATGGTTCCAAAACGAGATGGCGATTTTGTGAGTGTCCGTAGCTGATGATGTATTTGTAATGTTATTGTGCCGCGAAAAGTAAGCATTTTTTCTTTTCAAGTCATTAAGAACATGGTCAATACCCATATTTTCTCGAATATGGGAGGGGGGGATGCTTTCTTATTGAAGTAAGTTACCTAAATACAGCATGTAAGCGTGGTGCGGCCAACTTTCTCGTAAGTGTGGCATCTTTCCGGATAGAATATAGAGAGGGAAGTTCAAAACAAGAAAATCTCATCGTTTACAAATTCCAGTGTGACACCAAATGAGACCATGTGTGCTATTACAGCTGTGCTTACGCGCACGGAGAAAAATCCGCAGCAGGTGGAACGTGGAAAGTTCAAATCCAGTTCGAATGGAATTTAAATTTCAAGCGCAAATTACATCTAATGCCATTCAAAAATAATTTTTATTGATACATTGGATGAAAATGTTTTCACTCAACTTTTTTGACTTGCTAGTTTTCGAAGTTGAACTTTTTCAGTGTCTTTTGGGGGAGTATTTAAATGCAGATTTCCTTTTTTATGTGTGTGTGTTGCAGGTGGAATATCCAATTCCAGAACAATTTTCGACGACCGTTACAGCCGACGGTTTGACGACCGTCGTCGCTGACAGCACTGGTTGAAGCCACCAAATGCAATGAATAAGTCTTCGCATGGGAAAGAAAACAGCGGTGTGATTGAATTCGACTCCTGGCTCGCTTCAAACTTATTTATTTTCGCTTCACCGATTTGTCACGGCTTTTGATTGAATACGCGTTATTTATATGCTTTATCGCGTCGTTATAGTATTTAAACGCAGACGACAGGTTCACGACAGTTCACGTCTAACAAGGCTGCGCTTGATTGCATTTCTCGGGAACGATTGAAGTTCCCCGTGAATATTTGTAAATGGCTTCCCTGCTGCGAACGGGAAGCGGAACTTTGTGGCATGACTCTGGAAGATGGTTTAAAAAAAACGGTGTCTGGTAACTAATCGCGTTGTCTGGAGAGACTGTAATTCTTTAATTGTGAAGTTCGGCTTTAGTGGTTGTATGTTGCGTCTTGTGGAATAAAGTCTGTCCCTAATTTAACTTGAAAACGTATTCTATGCTTATTCTGTAGCTTACTAGCAATGATCGCCATTTGAGCAAGAATGTCATATACTGTATGTTCAAGTACAGTATATCATATTCATTCAAGTAAGTATATCATATTCATTCAAGTAAGTATTTCATATTCATTCAAGTAAGTATTTCATATTCATTCAAGTAAGTATTTCATATTCATTCAAGTAAGTATTTCATATTCATTCAAGTACTGTACAGTACATCATATTCATTCAAGTGCAGTACATATCATCTTCAGGCGAATACTGTACCTGATGTTATCACAAGCACCTTTTTGCAGCAAAAGCAAGGTACATGAAAGTAAAATGTTTTTTTATATTATGCATTCTATTTAACAAATACAATTTTCTGCACTTCGCAAGCCAGCTCTGTGGTTAAAAATAAGAGAAATCTTTTTTGACCAATTCTGTTCAAATGCTTCTTGTTTTATATGTTTACCAGTTATGGTGCTTAACATCATCACAGAACTTACAAATCAGTCATCATGAAATTGGGTGCCTGTCCAAATGGGGGATACATTTATGGGTGAATTCCGTAACAAAAAACTAAGGTATGCTGCCTCTTTGCTGCTGATGGAGGGTGTGTGCTGCTGGTACTTAGGTACCATGAATACCCCACCCTGTGAAATGGTAGAATATGCATAGAAGGGTTCCATGTTTTGTATAGAAAAAGTATGACTCTTCACATCAGTGACCAATAGGCGTGCAAACTTCTGGAGTACTTTTTTACTTGAGTTAATTGAGGAGGGTGAACGCAAAGTTGAAAAAAAAGTTATCCTGCTGGAAAGATTTGAGTACAAAGCTTATTGATGCGCATTTTTTCATTGACTTGAGATGTTGTATGCAATCTACTGTACATGCCTCATTTTGGGTAAACACATGGGTTATTGGCAGTGCTTATCATCTATAAAACATAAACCAAACGTCCAAGTTTCAGTCACCGATGGATATCAGGTAATAAAATGCCATATACTGGATTCTTGAATCGTGGGCAATAGCTGATTTTTCACGTTTGTTTTAGTAAAGTTTCGGGAACTCTCCGAAAACATTGACTTACCAAAACTTGCCGTTTTGGCAAATCAATGTCGTTTCATGGTTCATCAGTTGTTAATTCGGACCACCATCATTCGACTGTCAGAAAATAAGAATAACAAAGAATGAGAAACCTGCGTCTGATCTTTTAAATTGGAGTATTGTATAGTACATTCTATTCAGCTTCTAGAACCTCACGTATCGCTGGCCCTGATGGTCCATCTCGCCGAGGCCAACATTTTCGGCCCTCGACTCTGAGCTGTGCCCTTCTCCCTCCGTCACTTCCCACTACAACCGCAGTAAGTCGCTCGTAGTCAACAAGCTATACAACATTCAACAAAGGTGTCGCGCGAATCGCATCCGCTGTCTCTCGGTGAACGTTGGCTCGTGTCTTCCGGGCACGAAGACGTCAGATTTACCCGCCATTCCCGAGACCATCACATCGCGCCTTCGCTTACAAGGGACAACGGTGTTGCATCGTTAACGTGGGTCCATTGCGTGTTTCCATTCGGAGCTCGTCGTTGTGCTATGATGGTAACCAGCATCTTGAACTCTTGCCCGTGCCTGTTTTGAGATTTTCGGAACAGAATCCGACCAGTGTATCCCAGATTGAGATCTATAAACTTGTTACCAACGTGTTCGAATGACGATGTGTGAACGTGCTGATTCCCGGTTTTACTGGATGGTTGAAGAAGGCGCCTGAAGCGTGAATAATTATTTTTCCCGTGCTGGTTTTTAGGCCCAAGTGGCTGGTGGGAGCGACGCGTTCCACCTCTTCCGCGGTGAACGCGGGAGAACGGAGAATTTTTGATCTCCACAAATATGAATTTATTGATATGACTGTAACTGCTAAGGTTCTTTCGGGAACTTTGTGAAAACAAACCCCTTGCCAGTCGCCATCGCGTTTGTTTACATCGTGCGTACTAGTTTTGTGATCGGTATAGTACCTGGTCCGTATACGCTTGGGGAAACTATGATCCAACGATTTTTAACGCTCTAATAGCGTCCAAATCCTCGCCTCATCCTCCCACTCTGCCGGTCGGGGAGTCGGTGTGACCGACGTTCGTAGTTTTGGTTGCTGAATCCGTCTTGATTCACGATCCGGACACCATAATGGCAGGCAGTCCGGACACCGAAACGGCTGATGCCCGACATCCCAACAATTTGGTTTACTCCGATCCTTCTGTAGCCTCATCAACCATGAAGCGCTTAAATCAGATGCGCAAGAACGGGCAGTTCTGCGATGTAATATTACAGGTACGTTACTTCTCTTTTGATACCTTGTCGAATTTTAATTGTGCCTCCGACCTTTCAGACTGGAAAGAAAACTATCATGGGACACCGCGCTATCCTGGCCGCCGCCAGCCCGTACCTGTTTGACCTTTTTCAAAATGAAACCGCCAATGTGTTGGCCTCTGAGGTTCCGATTTCCTACCGTTTGGATCAAAATTTTGACTGGCAATCGCTTGAAATCATCGTTGAATATTGTTACACTGCTCAGTAAGTCACCATTCCGGGTATTTTTTTGCTTAACTAAATTCGATGAATCAGCTGCTTCTTCGTCTGATACTCACGACCGATCGTTAACAAACGTTGGTTCTTTCTAACATTGCATGATTTGTGAAATATTTTACTGCAATCCGAACTGTCTTTTTTAACCAGGGTTGAAGACTCAACCTCTCAGATGTGAAGAGAAGAAATAAATTTTTGTACAGAACGATCGCGTCTAAAGTGAAAATTATCCGTATCTACTGTACAGTATTTCCTGAACCCATGCATGAGTCTGAAAATACGGGAGGCGGATGTGCCGAAATTGTGATTCCAGAGAAGAAATAATCAACGTGCTTTAGTCTTCGCCTGTCGTTTGTCATGGTGTTGACAAGTATGTTGCTTCATGTATTTCGTCAAACTTAGGTTGGACATTCCGGAGAATCTTGTCAAGGGTGCGTACATCGTTGCTGCTCGCCTCCGAATGGAGGAAGTTCGCTCGGAATGCGCCAAATTCATGCTAGAGAATCTGAGCCCCGACAATTGCCTCGGAATCCGCTCGATCCTGGGAATCAAACATGATCCCAATTTCGCCGAAGCGATCGACAACTACATCCGCAAAGAGGTTAGTTCTTCATCTGCTTTTCTCAGAAAATTCGTTTCGTGGGAAAAGGAAAATTATTGATTGGGAACTTTACGACGCGAACGCGGAGGATTCCGTCGAGTACCAGAGTGGATGAGAGAAATCTCGTCATTTTTCGGTTCGTGAAAATGCGTTTTAAAATTCTTTTGTCAATCCCGTGTCATGAATTTGACTACGCAATTATGTTGAATGCTCGCGAATGAATTCGGCGCCACTGGATTGCTACACAGATCGTTAGCCGGCGTAATAGCGCCTTGTCATCGAGCCGGTTGGATCCCGTCTCGCTTCCCGGTTGATGTTGGGCAGCTAGGGGTTTGTCTCAACGTACTACTCATTACTTTCTTTACTGGCTTCACGCCAGGTGGGTCAGGCGAGGTTCATAGCTCTAACCGAGCGGTCTACATCCACAAATTTTGTTGTTGCTTTCCTTGGAAGTTTTTTAAGAATTTGACCACCTTTACTCAGGAATTCCGGCCATTGTAGTTCCCATAAAAAATCTGACTTCCGGGATCCATTGGCGCTACATCAGAAAGGCTCCGCGTGACAATTGCCACCATAATTTCTTGAAATGAATAATCAAATTATTTGTGGTCTTGCGAAGGAATCAAGTTATTGTAACTTCAACAACCTTACGAACGAGGATATTAAAAAATGGGTTACTGTCTCGCGAAGAAAACAACAAGAAAAGAACAACCACAATTTTAGGCTGGGCTTATTTGGTTTAAGACGGGATGTCGTGGGTGGTGTTCTTGCTTCGATATTTTAAGAAAATAACTGGTTATCTATTCCAGTTTTGTCCAACTCGGCTGTGGCCAAGGACCACATTGGAAAGGTGAAGAGTCCTTTCGGGCCAAAATGTTTCCCCCTTTAAAGAAAACGTTTAAAATGTAATTCAGTGCCACTGATGGAATCACAAGCATATCCACAGAATTTTTGGAGGCGTGAATCAGCATTTCGGATGATTAAATTCGTCTCACGACATAGCGTATATTTTGAAGTTGTTACTGAAAATTTAAAAAAGAATTGGGTCGCGAGAGAGCAATTATCTAACTTATAGGCCAAGTTCACCTAAAGAAGATGAGATTGTTGAGGCCTAAATAAAAAAAACTTGCTCTGTCCGTGTGACATTACTGCCATTTTAGAGATGCTTTTTACCTTTTTTCGATTGTGCGTTCCTTCGAGAAGTCACTTCAGATGCTCGAGAAATGCCATCGTGGAATGTATGATGTGTCAGTCAGCACAGAAACGTGATGTTCATTATGTAAACATAAGGAAATGTTTACACATTTGATTTTTCTAGTACCAATCTGACAACTCCTGCCGCTATGTCGTCGACACGGGCTAAATCCTTCCAGTATATTTGAAGTTAGAATAGACCGTAGATGATATCCAGTACACAATTTAAAAATAAATGCCGACTCAGTTTCATATACAGTACAATATTTCAAACTTCCCACTGTTTTCGGTGGATTCTGGAAATAGTCGATGAGGCCACCAGAGAAGGATGAGAATGCTAAAGCAGAGAAGGCTGCGACCAAACGGAATCTGTTGGTTCTTCTTGGGGGAAAAGCGCGATGTTTGTCCACTTCATTGCAGGTTCTTCGCCCTTCTTCTTATTGGACTGTTCCTCATCCAATTACGATGATCACTCAGTCTCAGCATTTTTTCGTAATTTTTCCTCCATTAGTTCCAAATAGCCACCGGAATAAGTCAACCGCCAAATTGTGTTTCATGGCCTCGATGAAACTTACATTTTTTGAATTTGCCTCGAGGTTGAACTCGACCCAAAATTCCTGATGTTCCCGAAAATCTGAAATTGAATTTTTTTCAATTGGAAAAATTACACTACTGTATTATACTATGCAATTGTTGTTGGGGACCCGAGAATAATTCTTTATGGGAAAATGTTGCTGTTGTAAATAAAATTTATAACGCGGTTATATGTCTGCCAAAATCTGTGAACAATTCGTTGTAGGAAGAATATTGCTGTAGATAAACTCTTCCTAGTACGAGTACCGTAGTTATTTCCATTCCATGAATTGTAAGTGATGATTTATCGCAAGGCGCGTTTTTATAAATATCTCGTCACTGTAGCGACATATATTTAAATAAATGAGGTTACAGTATTTTTATTGCCATTTGTAAATTATCTTTCTCAAGATCGGAAAAGTCGGGATTTTCATTCGAATATTTTTGCTTTGTGAAACCGGCTTGCACTGAGAAGGCTGACGAACCGTTTATTTTAATTATGGTGATAAAATGAAGAATACTCAAGATTTCATCATACGTGTGCCATTTTCTGCTCATTATTTAAAAGATAAGTCAGGATGATTGTTATTTGAAACACGTTTCACTAACCGTGAATGAGGTTCTTTTCTGGGTTAGAGCTTTTACAGCATTGTACAGTACAGTACTTGACGTGGAAAATGCTGCGGCGTACTTCTGTCTGGGCATGTGGGGGAACAAGGTATTTTCTGATTCGTTTTCCTCGTGATAATCCTTGATTTGTAGCTGTGTGAATTGACGGAGTAAGGAATAGGAAACGTTGAGGCGGATACCGTGCATTATTTGAAGNGAAATCAGTTTCCGTTGAACTCCAGGCCAGAAACGGTGGTTAATCGATGGAGGAGGAACTGCGCCAATAAGTTTTCTGTGGCTTCATGCGGAGGAACCCTCTTTTCCCCCTCCCATTCAGGGTTTGTTTTTCCTGTCAAATATTTACCAAAAACGCTGCCACGGGTGGGTTTGCCATTTCGGTTACCCTGGTTCCCTCCTGTTCCCCCTCCCACGTCTCTTGTCTAGTTGTTGAAGGTTATGGTCTTCGCCAGCGTTGATGATCCCTTGTCGTGCGGCTTTTCTAGGTCGCATGTTCGATCCTAATTCATTGTTCCGTCCTGTCCTGTTCTGAATAACTGGGGCACCATTTTTTTGTCGTTATTTGAATTTTGAATGGCCGACAGTGTTTTCTGTAACGCAGCTGCGTTTTGCCTAGAATACTAAATCACGAAATGCTCGAACTGATCAAGCAGAACCGAAACGCAGCCGACCTGCTGGACTTTGAATCAAAGAACCGATAAACAAAATACAGAAACGGAAGTTCTCATGACGACGAAATTCTGGGTACAAGAAAAAAGTTAGTTGTAGAGAGATTTTCGTCTTGGAGAACCTGTACGGAATGGGGAGAGACCTGTATGGGATCGCATGAAATTCGTTATACTGTACAAATGAAATCGTTATATAGAAAGTCTACCTTTATTCAAAAGTCAAATCTTTGAGCGACATCTGGTATAACTGAAGAACATTTCTGGGTCTTGGACACAAAAGCTTAAACCCCGAATAAATCGAGCTTGAGCCAAACTCGCCTAATGTAAGGAGAATGACTAATATTACGGTTTGTGAGAGGCTCAACGTAAGAAATTTCAGACTGTATGCATGTAATGTAAAAATGAATTAGAATAAGTGACAGCTAGCTTGGACGATTATATTTAACGTATTTACAGGAGTGCCATGTCCTTGAGTAAGGCACGCCCCTTTTTCTCATTCTAAAAATGTGAAGAACAAAAAAACGTCAAGATGTACACCCCTGATAATGAGACTGAAAATTTAAATATTCTGTAAATGAAATTAATCAAAATTTACATTCTGACAGATTGAAGTCAAATTTAATGTTAATTTTACGTCAATTCTATCTTTAAAACTTCAAGAATTTGGGTAAGAATTCATTCAAGTATGAAATGCACCAAGGTCTAAAATATTCCTCGTGTTATACCAGCCTATATCGCGACCCCACTTTTTTCTTCTTAATCTAAAAAAAATTTAGCGTGGTACATAAGTGAATATGGTACTGTACATATTAATTCAACGTAATAATTAACTGCGATCTAACTTTGTCTTGAAGCAATGCAAATTTGAAAGCTTAAACCTACAATAGTTGATACTGTTGCATGATGTGACTCGAACTAGGCAAATGTGAAAAATTACCATGACCTAAGTTCAAGGTTGAACGACGAAAGCAAACAAATTGTAGGCGAAATCCGTGCAACGACTTTTAAAAATGACGTGTCAAGAACGTTAAGAGCAGAGTCTTATAAAACTTGTTTTCCTAATCCATGGAAACTGACGAGCAGCAGCAGCATAGGTTATTTCTTCTGATTGATGTGTCATCTGACTCATCACTGGATTTTCTCGTGCTGTTATATAAAGCCCCATTTTTTTATCAAATCGTTCAATCGATCTACAGTATTGTATTCGTATATTTTTACCCCGCCTGTTCGGGGTAAGCGTTTGATCTGATATCAAGTCATCGTTCGATGGACGTTATCAAGGATGCATACGCATTTGCATAATGATGCTGGCGGCTTTTTGGTAGGGACGAATCGTCGATTGCATGCCTTTCTTTCTGCTAGAAGGTCACGCAAGAATAATTCATGGCGTTTTTGACGTCGGCTCCGGAGCGTCTGCTTCTTCTTCTTCTTTGAAATGTTTCTCGAATTTTCGGTGACGTTTAAAAATGTTTGTTTTTCGTCGTTACGCGTTTTGCCCTGGCACGTGTTGATAAGCGGGGATATTTTGAGACTAATGTTCGTTAAGGATGTCCGGATTGGCGTGGAATCAAAAACCGCGTGCGGCGGTTGGACGAGTCGCATTTTGGCGTAGGAGGAAATGAACGTTTTGCTGTCCGGTCTTGAATTATTGCTGGAATTTTTTTCTTGAATAAAAAAGTCTGTCAAAGTATGGTTATATAACGTGAGTATTTCGAAAGTTCATGCAAAAGTTTGAAAAAGAAAAACTCTGAAAGAAGCTTCATACGAACGGAATCAGCAAAGAATGGCTTGCAGTCCAAAGTCCTTAGTTGTCACTGCGTACAAGACATTCGAGGTTTTATTTTAATTCAATTCCCGAGGACGTGACATTTTTCCTTGTACTGTAATGCTTTTCAGAAGAATACATTTCGTGATTCATTAGGTCCCTGCCAAATAGCC